ATTTCTTCTTTTCAAACAGAATCCAAAATTCCTTTGGGTGTTGCAATTTCATTCATTCATTCATTCATTTTTCCTGTTTCTGTTTTTTGTTTTTCTTTCTTCTTGATTGAGAAAGAAAGGAATTTGCCGAGGAATATGAAGAAGAAGAAACTTCTTTAGTTGAAAGAAATGAGATTTTTTTTCATTTCATTTCATTATCATTTTCATGGTTGAGAAAATTTCCAGAAATAAATGAATTTTAGATCATCATCATCAGTGCTTGCCAGAAAATTTCCTTTCAACTTTAACCTTTGAATGAATGAAGAATATTCTTCAAACAACAGCCCGTTTCGAAACAAAAGAAATGATCCAGAAAACAACGCACCAAAACGAAATGAACATTGATCAAAAAATAGCAAAATAAACCCCCACCAACCCCACCAAATAATAATAATGACAGAACAAAAAACAATTTTCAAATCTAATTTGGACAATAACAGCATCAACAACAACAACAAAAAGTTTGAAATGAATGGGTGAAAAACAAATATATGCGGAAAGTAAGAGAGAGAGAACATAATGACCAATTTGGAACAACAATAACCGACAATAACCGACCAAAATGAATGTTTTTATGTGTGTAAATGTGTGTGTGGACAGCAGCTGGACAAAACAAAAAACATGTTATTCTTAACGGGGAAAAAAATTAAATTCTTTGCTGTTACTTTCATCATTATAAGTAAGTTTTCATTCGATTACAAGCGTTTTTGTTTTTCTTTCTTAAATGTTTTTCGGGGGTTTTTTAATGGTAATTTCAACGATGATTGAGGACATATTGAGGATGGAAGAAACATGCATGGAAAATTTAATTAAAATTTCCAACAATCATCGATATTATTATCATCTTTCCGGGAATATTTCCCTTATCTACCTTTCAACAGAATTTAGATTCTGAAAAAAAGAATATTCAAAGTTTCCATTTTTTTCGCCTGGATATATTTCTCTTGTCAATTTGATGATCAAACTTAAGATAATCAAAGGATTTTTTTCATTGACTTTGTTTCACAAAAGTTTACTTATGTTTCAAAATTTGAATATAACTCAAGGAAAAGTGTACAGGAGAAAAAAAAGTTTTTCGGAAAACTTTTTTTTTGCTACAATGAAATTCCATTTACACACACATATACAATTTGCACTTGAATAAATTTTTATCATCATCATCATCAAACAACAATTTAGTGTTTGAAATGAAAGAAATTTGAATCCCCAGCAAGCAAAATAATGATGCTTATGACGATGAAAAAAGTGAGAATTTGTGAAACTGAATCCGAAAAAAGAAAAACAGAAAATCAAAGAAGAAGAATAAGAATGCGTAATGAATCCTGTGTCGATTCTAAAAAACACACACACAGAGAGAGGGAGACGTTAGAAAAGCGAAAAAGCCTAAAAATAAACTCTTTTTAGTTTCTTAAAATAATCTACGAATGAATTTGCATGAATGAATGAATGAAGGGAAAACATAAGGATTTTATTTACCTTGAATAACACTCAATGATGATTATGATGATGCGGAAAGGTTATTTTTATCTGTTGTTGTTGTTTGTCCTTTTATAACCCCACAAAACCAACAGAAAAAACTTTTTACTTTCGGTTTTTGATCAACCGATTACGACAATTAAGCAAAATTCAATGCAAAGGAATTGAATTGAATGATTTTAGAATGATAATAAAAACGCAATGAACAACAAGCAACAAAACGCAAAGAACAGCAAGCAAAATTAGAAATTAAATGGCACTTTATCGCATCGATGATTGTTATTCTTGTATGCTGATTTTCACTACATATTCTTCAATTATGAATTATGATGTTTGATGTTTGATGTTTGATGATAATGATGATATGATATGATCATTTTGTGTTGATGATGATGATATGATTCTGTGCCTTTTGTGATATGAATATTACATTATGGTTATATGATCATGATGGTATTAAGTTGTCATCATCATCATCGTCGTCGTCGTCGTCGTTGTTGTCGATGTTGTTGTCATTATCATCATCATTAATGATAATGATCATTATTTAACACCGAGAGTGAGACATACTGTGAAAACGAACGAATAATAAATAAGGCCAGAATATTCTGGGTTTTCATTCATTTAGCTACTGTGTGTGTAATGATTTGCTGATTTGATTTACTGAATTCCAAGAACGAATAATGAATAAAATAGCCAGAATTCTTGACCAAATTCTTGTCTTCAAAACCGGAAAATTGTATCCATTTTTTTTTGCCCGATTCTGTTGAAGAATTCCCAAAAAATGATCATTATTATTCACACACTGCACACACACACACGTAAATAAACCTGAAGAAAATTTTTTTTGTTTTTTGCTTGGTTGGATGCGTCACATCTGCAGACGATGTTTCCATCAAATGAAACCAAACCAAACACCAACATTACCGACCACTGAACATCATCAGGGTTATTTCTATACAACACCGTACCCAAACAGAATAAAAAAAATGATCAGAATCAACGAATTTTTCATTCGCGTAAAATAGTGTGTGTGTGTATTCAATGGGGAAACCAAATGAAATGAAATAAAATGAACAACAGCAGCTATTAGAAAGAAGCAGCCGCAGTAGATATAGAATTTTTTGGCCCAAAGAAACAAAACAAAACTGGGAGCCACATTTGTGAATGGAATTTTTCAGAATTTTCAGAATCGGAAAAACAAAAAATCCTATGTCTATTTGGGCAAGGTTACCAAAGAAAAAAAATTGCGTATGAAAGAGAATTCTTTTGCGCCGGTTTTCTTCATCATTTCATTGCATCCTTTTTTTTGTTTTGTTTATTATGGGAATCTTTTCGTTTTTTTCCAGTTTTTTTTCTGTTTCAAATGGAGTGGTAAAAAAAATGTAAAAAACACTGGGTAATCAGAATTTTTCTTTTTTTTTTTTGAAAATGTTGATTAAACGAAGATGAAAGAAAAAATGGCCCTAGAAATTTCAAGTCCAGATATGAAAAATTCCCGAAAAAAAATGAAATGAAACAATGTCTCTCTCCCCTATCTGTCTCTGGGTGTGCGTATGGCAGATATGATGTTTTATTTTTGCATTTTTTTCATTTTCATCCATTTTTTCTCAATGAAACAATGATGGATCACACACAAACATTGTGATATAGTGTGATGTATTAGCATAGGTATGTGTGGTATTTGTTTTACAAAATTTTTTTCTCTTTCTGGAGAGAAAAAGATGCAAAAATATTGGATAATGGAAAAAGAAGGAATTTTTTCCGAAAATTTTCTCAAGGATTTTCTGATGTTTTCTGATGCTTTTTTCTGATGATTCGGTCATGTGTGAAAAACCCCTTTAATATACCTAGATTTCTATAGGAACCCAGCAGACAGCCAAATGTCTATGATGATTTTATTATAAAGAATTTGATAAAGATGATGTACGTTTTTGAATATTAACTACCACCATCATCATCATCATTTTTTCCCATTTTTTCCCATAAATAGAATTGACAGGTACTTTTTTTTGGGTATAATGGCGGCGGTGGTATAATGGCGAAACCCAAAAATTCTGTGGGAAACCAAACAAACCCAAAACATTACCGAAGCCCAATTCTGCGGTAACATGATCCAAGTGTTTTTTCGTTTTTTCGTCTCTTCTCTTGTTGTTGTTCGAGGGTTTATTTTCAAAAAATCATTTAAAAAGCTTATGATAATGATGATGATGATAATTGAAAATTTTTTCCATCATTAAAATCTTCCATTCATTCATTCAATGATGATGATGATGTTGTGTGTGTGTGGAAATAGACTCTAATGAAAATTTGTAATGTTGTGGCGAAAAAGTTTATATTTTTTGTCTGAATAAATATGGATAGATTACATTACTTATTACATATTTTATTATGGTTTTTTTTTGTTGGAATTATGCAAATAATGTTTACTATTATTATTATTATTTAGGGATAATGTTGTTGTTGTTGTTGTTGTTGGGAAATATTCCCTCTCTCTTTTTTTTTTTTTTTTTTTTTTTTTTTTTTTTTTTTTAATTAAATTTTTTTTTAAAAAGGCCAACCTGGTGGGGTGGGGTTTTTTTTTTTG